AAAACAACATTATTTTTTTTTAATTTTTAATAATTTCTTATATATTATTTATATTTCTAAGATAATTTGCTAGAAATTTTTTATTTGAGCTCTTCTATAATATAATCTTTCTTTTAATTTTTTATCTAATGGTTGTATTATAATAAAACAACATGAAATTAATTTTTTTTCTTTTTATAAGTATTTTTATTGCTATTTTTTTGTTCTTAAACTTTTTTTAATTGACCTTTTATTGTTACATGTAGCTTTGATAAATAATTCATCCAATCCTTTGCCATAGAATTATTGACTTCGGAGAAGTTAAAACTATCAAATTATGGATGATAACTTTAATCAACAAAAAATATATTTATTGAGTAGAAAAATATATTGTATTATTTTAAGCAAATTTTGCTAATGATAAAAAAATTATCCAATCATATTGATGATATTTGATGGTACACCTCAAATATTAGTCCAAAATTTAATCAATCCATTTTATTTATCCATTAATTTAAAGATAGAGAGTCAAAGATAGTTTTATTTCCATCCTCATTATATTTTTTTACTCAATCTTTAAATAATATCTTTATATAATATTTTTTGACAATTCATAATAGTGATAGATATTATTAAAAAAAGTTTAAATTTTTTTCTATATTTGATAGTTTTTGAATATAATACAAAATATGCCATCTTAAAGGAACAATCTACTATCATAAATATAAAGTCATATGAACTTGAAATAAAAGATTTGTAATCAAATCCATAGAAATAGAAGAGTATGGTTGTTTTAATATAAATAATGGCTAAGAAAGACCATAAGATTGATGATGATTTTTTTTTTCAATAAATATTACATAATTATATAAAGTCTTTAATAATATTTACATTTGATACCACAAAAATATATATATATATATGTATATTCAAAAGTCTTATTGTATCTAAATATTTTGCCACTAGGAAGTTGTTATAAGCTTGAAGAGTATATAATTGTGTTTCATATTTTGAAATATATAAGCATATTTTGAAATAAAATGGATTATTTTTAAATTAAAACTATAAAGTATCATAAGATTTAAATAGGTTATTTTTAATATCATGAATATAAAGATCCAAAGATTTATTTGATTGTATTTGCTAAATAAATAATGAATCAACAATCAACGTTGATTTTATTGTCCAAAGACAAAATTGCTCACACTTCAATTTTTTTTTTTTTTTTTTTTTTTTTTTTTGATTAAAAGCTACACTTTTTTTGTGTAAAATAAGAACATCTAAAAAGAACATTATACGAATTTTTTTTGTTTTTTTATCAATAAGTGACCTTAAATTCAAATCTTAACAAAATCATGCTCTAATAAGCTTAGCAATAATTTAAAATACATACTAACATAAAATACTTGAGGTCCTTGTGATTTATATATATTGTAATTGGATTTGAAGCACCTTCTAAATAATGATGCAATTCTTAAAATGAATCTATAATTACAAGAAGTTCTTTATCATGGATTTGGTAGTTGATTTTGGATGTTGAAAAAAAATGCAAATAAAAAGCTGCTAGATGAAGTTTGTCATTTGCTCCTATTTATGAAAATATTACATCTAATGCAAAGTCTAATATATTTATTTCTATCAAAAATGCCTTAAAAAAGTCCAGGCAATATAAGATTGGTATAAAATAATAGTTATCTTTAAAACTTTAAATGATGCTTTTTCTTCTTTACTTTACTCAAGTTTATCTTCATAAGTCAAATGAGTAAGTAGAGTTGCAACTTGAGAATTGTTTTTGATAAAGATTCAATAATAATAAGCAAATTGCAAAAAAATATTAGTCATCTCTTATTGTTTTATAAATCTTCTAATCCTTGATAGTTTGAATTTTCTTAGAATTCATCATAAGGCCATCATTTGAAATGATGTATTCCAAGAAGTCAACTTGAGTTGTATAAAATACAGACTTCTTTACTTTTGCATATAATCCTACATCTTTAAGTTTTTATAACATACAAAAATCATGAAATTCGTGCTCTTTTGCATTCTTAAAATATATTAAGATGTAGTTTAAATAATAAATTATAAAATTATCTAAAATTTTCAAAAAATATCATTCATTAGATATTAAAAAATAACTAATATATTTTGAAATCCAAGAGATATGATATTATATTTAAAATATCATACTTGGTTCAAAATGAAATCTTTCATTCACTTCCTTCTTTGATGATACCAAGTTGTATCTTTTTTGCAGATTTTTTTTTTTTTTTTTTTTTTTTTTTTAAAAAAAAAAAAGATCTTGGCTTGATTTGATTGATCCAAAAGTATTGAAATCAAAGATAAGAAATACCTATACTTGATGATAATCTAGTTGAGTCATTAATAATCTATGTATATTTTTTTTGCTAATAAATAAGATAAAAATTCTTATTAGAGATTTTGAATGGCATATGAAGATTTTAGCTAGGTTCTTATCAATATATTTTTTGAGTACAACCAACTTCTTTTGTAATAAATAATAAATTGGTAGAAATAGCAATTGAGATTTTTCTTAATAATCAATTGAACAATCATAAAAACAATGCTTTAGAAGAATATTTGCATTCTTCTTTTCAAATATATCTTAATAATTTTAATATTGGCTTAGAATACCACTTAAAGTCTTTCTACCATAAAAAATGAGTGTGGCATAAATAACAAAACGTGACTCATCTTTTGCAATATGCATGAAAGTTCTTGCACCTACCAAGAAGGATTTAATTATTCTAGACTTATAAATTTTTACTTTGATAATAGAAGTCTAGATTATATTATTAGAAAAATCAAAGTTACAAAAAATCCAATCTATTCAAGGGTTATATTTTTCAAGCCACAATAAAATGTAAAATAATTAAATTAGAGAGAGATCTAATAACATTAAATATTATAAAGCTATTAAAACTATTAACTATTAGATTTAAAGGAATAATTTAATGGATAATATCTCAAAAAGACAACAAACAATCATTTATGTCTTTTATATATTAAGCAGTGGGCTTAGGTTCTCTACAATATAAGCACAATCTTTCTTGACAGTGTTGAGTTTTTTCTTATTCATTGAAAGCTTTGATATATATTGTATCAATTTACATTATAATTGACCTTGATGAATAAGTTTTTGAAACTTAGAAGTTGTCACTATGACTTGAATTGTAACTCTTTAATTTTTTTGCAAAGTATTAGATTAGCAAGTTATTTTAAAATATCTTGTATTTATCAAAAAAAACTTAAAAATTAAAAATTTATTTAAAATTTTGATTTTAATTAATAATTATCAAATATAGCAAAGTTAAAAAAATTAATATGAAAATTAGAAAAAGTCCAAATAGTTGAAGATTTTTTTATAGCTAAAAATATTACATCTATCATTTTATTGATTTTAGCTGGATAAAATTTTAAAAATATATGTAGATAATATTAAAGTCAAATTATCAATTTATTATACATATATAATATAATATATTTATATTATTTAAAATCTAAAAAATTAAAAATATCAAATATTAATAAATATATAAGTTTTATTTTTTAAAAAACTACATCCAAATATGTATTTTAAACTTATTTCATTTTTTTTTTCTTACAATGTTAAAATAATGTGCTTGCCACAAGTCTTTAACTCCTAAAGGTAATTATTGAATAGACTAATAATAATTTATAAAGAATATAATTTGTATAAATGTATTGAGTCCAAAAACAATTTAAAAATGTTAGAATCAATAAACCTTAAATTTAGAATATTAATATAATTTTAAAAATTCATATCTTTATCAAATAGATGATCAATCTTATATATATTTTCTTTAGATTAAGGAGCTTAAACCACATTAAAGGTAAGATATTCTTTCTTCATAAATTAATTATATTTTTAGTTGGAGATTTAGCACATACTTCTTAGATGGTGATTTTGATAAAAAGAATTATGAACAATTGAAGGATCTTAAATCTATTCTATTTTTCACTAAAAAATATCATTCTCAAATATTAACTATCATGAATATCACAAATATTATAAATATCATAAACATCACAAATATCATAATTATTGTGATATTTGTGATATTTATGATATCTTAATAAATCATTCTCAAATATCAAATATCATGAATATCATAAATGTCACAAATTCTCTAACTCTCCCAAAAACAAATTCAAAGTAAAAAAATAAACAAATAAAAAAAAATAAAAAATAAAAACTCAAAATACCCGTCTGCTGACACCGGCTAACCCCAATTCCTAACAGGGATAAGCAGACAAGCCGCCGTAATGCCGACAAAACAAACTCCGCAGTCTCCTCAGTCTTCGCAACACCCACCCATTGTTCCTCCTCCACCGAAGCATTACTGTCTCCATTGCTTTTCCAAGCTCGGAAGAAGACTGCTCCAGTTCTTCTCCTTCTTCTTCTTCTTCCTTCTCATTTTCATTCTACTTTTTTGCTTTATACTGCATGCCAAGTTGCCAAGCAGGTTCGGGCATGGGACACACTCGCAATAGCACTGCTGCTTCGCGCTACCAGATCACAACATATCACTACCCTGGCTGGCTCGAACCGGGTCCTCGTTCAGTATTCTCCGGGGTTGGTAGACTGTGATATATTTAGGGAGATGGGACAATGTGGGTGGGGGGGGGGGTCTTGGTTTGACTGGTGCGTGTGGCCACTTGTGCCGAGCACCAGCTGCAACAGCGCCAATTCCCAGATGCTACAATCATCGAAGGGAGGGAGCGAGCGAAGCAGGGGAAGCTAACAATAGAATGATCCTTGGACTGTGTTGCAGCTGGACGACAGCGTCAGGACACCGTGGAGCCCACCTCCCCACTTGTCCTCCTTCTCTGCCATTCATTTCTGGATCTCCCCCCCTTCCCCCCCACCACGTCTGCAACCCTCTCCTCGGCGCTGGTGGCGACCTGCTGGACTCGACCCATCTGCTGGAATCCACCTTAGCTGCCTGGTTTTGGCCATTCCTTATTTTTGCCTCACTTGCAGGTGAGCCTCGAGGTGAACCAAACGCTAGGAATTTGCTTGTGGCGATGAGAGGTGACCCCTTCTGAGCACCGGATTTGGCGGTTAAGAACTCATCTGTGGAGATCTAGAACTCGTGTGCATTGTAACAGTGTTTTTGAACTTCAGAACTGAAGTGTTTATAAAATGGTTGCGCACAGTGTCTAGCACATTTAGACGACGGGCTCTGGTAACTTTAGCAGCGGATATGGGATCGTCTAATAATTACTTCTCACATCAGCGAATTCGTTGGATCGGGACGGAGGGCTCGGATGAAGTTCCCGAACGGACGGCTGGAAACGTATAAATTCCCCTGCAACCGCACCTGTTCGGATGAGTCCTGTGGTTTTCGGAAAGGAATTGAACACTTTCAGTGAACTGACAAATGAAAGTTGATAGGTGGACTGTACCTTCATCCGCTTGAATTGAACTTGAAGGTGAGAAGCACAAGTCACTTGAGGGTACGAACTCAGGCAGAGAATCTGGATTCGGACTCATCGGGGTTTCGTTGGGGACGAATGAGAGGGATTTGTGTCAGCATCTGCGAATTAAAGAACTTGGAATATGTTATGTTCAATACGACTTGAAAGAAATAATCTGTTTGTTTGAAAAAGACGCGGGGGTTGAAGAGGGGCGTGCGAGGTCTATTATTGCAGACGAAAATTTCGAGGTATGTTTTGATTGTTGGGCATGCGGTTCCAGTCACAGTGGGAGGATAGGCTAGGTCTGGTACAGTCGTGATTGTATGGACATTGGAATGCTGTGAGCATATCTGAGGGTAGTTCCCGTGTTTGGAGTTGTGACTGATTGTAGTCTCTTTCCTGTGATGGCAAGAACGATTACTTCCTAGTGTGTAACAATCGTAAGAAGGTGCTCCCTGGTCTTATACTTGGCTATCACTTGTGCATAGCTTCCCTACTTGAACGGAAGCCCAGGCGTGGAGGACATTGGTGGAAAGGTTAAGCGAAGCGTGAGCTTGTTCGAGCACAATGTGTCACGGTTTGATTGAGCAACGGCCGGCCACGATATGTATTCCCGATCTGCTTCGGTTGGCCTGGCCCTCAACACTCTTGCTGGTTCTGTAATGTCGGTGCATGTTCACATTATTTAAACAAGTTAGATACTAAGTTTATGAAGAAAGTTCACACAAGAGTTCTTTTCGTGGTCTTTCAATGCCTTAGAGCAAGCAGTCTTGGAGGTCTTTGCACTTCATGAAAGTTTCAGAAATGGCTCGAAGGATCTATGTCACTGGTTTCTATGAACGCAAGCACACCTGTCATTCGATCCTACTTCCATCCCCAGCCTAGTCTCGGTCAATATTGCTTCAGTTGTTTGCAGCGGTTCAAATGATTGGAGCTGCCCTTGATTTATATCTGCATTATGGTCATAGCCACAGTCTTGGAAAGAAGAGGGTTGTGCGTATCATCTCTAATGGCCGTTCATTGCTTTTGCAATCAGGGACCTTGCGTATCAAGAGCCTGATTACAATATATATGTTGATAGCTATCCAAGTGTGGACGATGTCATCGACCTACCCATGGTTGACGATGAGTTGCTGCCAGAGCCATCGAGCTTGTCGGATGATGCCTTGGCTGACATTGTCAAAGAGTATTCCTCGGCAGTGAAGAAGCTTGACCCTGAGGATGTTGGCGATGCCGGGGCTGACGCGCTTGGGTCGTCAGGAGTCCTTTCGGCATGGCTTGATATCACTAAGGATGGATTCTGCGCAGGAAAAGACTCTACACCTAAGAAGTCTGCAACAGTGGCATCCGAAACGTCTTGTGAGGGTACCGTCGAGAATGTTTCCAATGCAGTCGAGTCTTTACCAAAAAGTAGAAAAGCTCGCAAATCTGCCTCCAAAGACCAGGGCCATGCCCAACATGACTCCGAGATGGATGATGAGGCGCCTGTTCTCATTGACGAGAAACGGAAACGAAGGTGCGTCTTCTTCTTGTCCTTCTTCGTTCCTTTCGGGAAGGTATCGACAGGTTTCTAAGCTAACTCTAAAGCGATGAATGAGGAATTGAGATCTTTTTGATGGTTGTTGGCACAGAATGTCCTCGAATCGTGCATCGGCTCAAAGATCTAGACTGAGGAAGCAAGGGCGTTTGGACGAGCTTGAGATTTTGGTGCGATAATTCTCTGAAACCCATTGGACATTTGGACACGAGATTTACATGTTATTTGGGTCGAATTATATACCCATCGAGCTATCACGTCAAGGAGGAACAGTGGGAACTCAACAGTGATGTTATTGTGGGGATACTTAATGGATCGTCTTTTGTCTGATTTCAACTCCTCTCTCTTACAGACTGCTCAGTTGCGGCTGGAGAACTCAACTCTCTCTCGCAAGTCAATCTTGGCCGAACAGCTAGTCAAAAAATACCAGGTCGAAAAGAGTGATCTGGCGAAGAAGGTCGAGGAACTGAGAAAGGAGCTGGAGCAGGCTCGACAGGCACGAGCGCAGGGGTCACCCTATTATGGAACTGGAACATTGCCAAATGGCAATCACATCTCCGGCCTCTGCAAAAAGGTAATGTCTTATGGATTGTCCGTTCAAATGCATCAAGCGACGTGGCCACTTGATAGATAACCGTTACTTCATTAATAATTTTTTCTTTATTATTTAACCATCAAATTGACTATTGAAAGAAAAAAATAAAATAAAAGCCTTGGAAACCTGTGGTCACGTCGCCTAGACTGAAAAAAAACATCTCTTCTGTCATTCAGGTCGATGAAGGCGAATCTCTTTCAGGCGAAAGTGTGGGTTCTGAGATGTCACCTCAGAGCAGCCACGATAGCGATAATACAAACTTCGATGTCGAGCAGCGAAGCATCTCCAGTACCGACCCGCAGTCCGACATCTCTGCAGACCTAGTTGACCCATTCGATCTCGATCAGTTCGACGTCAGCTTCAGCGATGGAGTGCCGGAGTTTGTTCAAGAGGAGTGGTGCGAATCATTCTCCGAGTGTTTGAACGCGTGACCTCGGTTGCTCATGCAGCTCATCGAAGATCAGCCCAGCTCAGTGATTTCCCAGTTCCAACCTAAACTTCTAATGTTTGAACACTGCTAGTCAACAATTCATTGCTAATTGTTTGCCATGTGAATTGATATATACAATTCAATATAATCTGTACACAGCAGACTATTTTGTACAAAATTCTAATTATCGTAAGATACAAAAACCGACTTAAAGTTTATTCTTTACTTATATTCTTGTTAATTTTAACCTTTTGGATCCTCAACAGTAAATGAACATATGTCATACATACATCTACACCTACACATCCAAAAAAATCTCACAAATATACAATTTGATAGATATCTATAAAACATTACACTCAAAAAAAAAATGATAAAAATGAATTGAGTTCCACTTTCTCTTTCATGGTTACTATAACAAATTCCTTAAGTTCGAAAAAAGAGTACTACAGACAATGTTGAATTCTTGTTGTTTTGTTCTTCCAAAAAAGCTCCTGTACATGTGACAACCACCACTTCAAACAAAAAGAATGTAATTTTACCAATTTTTGTACATATTTTCTATACATTTTATATATATATTTATTTATACATGTTTGGGAATGTGAAATAAACCCATACTTTTATTTAACAGAACCACTTATGATGAAGAACATGGTAATTATGATGAAGAACATGGTAATTATGATGAATGTGGTTGGTTTTTATTGGTTGCAGATCCAACAGTGGAGAAATGAATCTAAAGTTCATTTTTTTTCTTTTCATGATGGTTAGGACGGGTGGATCATTTTGGACAATTTAACATTCCTCTATAAATATATAATTACTAAAAAAAACCTGGCAATACATGGTACTGTCATCTATTCATTCTCTTGTTCATCTATGTTTGACCCATGAAAAGGTTTCTTTATGTCTTTATCATACACCTAAACTATTTTATATAACAGATAATACACATATGCATATATTAAAAATAAAAACATGTGAAAAAAGCAAAAAGCATGTATCACCCAATAAGTACATTCCAACTCACACCACTTGTGGTGGCAAGTATCAAAGTCAACCCAGTATGAAAAGAGAGGGGGGCATGGAATGTGGAGGGATGCTTTAATTTTGTATTCCAAAGAGACATTTGACACATTTGTCAAACTCCGCAAACCCACCAAAGCGTTTTTATATTCCACGTGGACGCACATGATTGGTCCAGCTCAGCTCAGATTAATTTCCTTGCTGAGTTCGTTGACCTTTTGACAAGTCCTTTTCTGACCATCGAACGAAAACGTGTCCCGTTTTTCGTTCGTCGATTGGTCGGTGAGTGTCCGTCGGCCGAACTTGCAAACTCAAGAGGATCGGCAACGCGTCGGCGCTCTTTTGTCTGCCCCCCCCCTCCCCCCCAATCCCCCCCAATCCCCCCGACTGTGCGAATTTTCGTTGCATTTTCTGGGGTCGGACGCGGATTTGAGCTCGTTGCGGGTATCGGGGATTCCCTTCGGAATTCTGAATGTTTTCGTGGGAAATTCCGTCCGACATTTTGCAATCCTGCACTCGCTCGCAACGCCGAGGCAATTGCCAGCTGATGCAGATCTGGGGGACAGCTCCTCCAATCAGACGTTACGTTTTGCGGCCGTGTTTTTCTCAATTTTTGCAGACCTTGCCACGATCCCTACACACATGGACATTCTCCATCACAGCTAATCAGCTGTGGTGGAGTTAGTTTATTGAATGAGTGTCGGAAAATGCTGCAGCCGTGATGAAGAGCGCGAGTAGGGGCTGTCTTAGTTTCTCCGCACGCAAAATTCTGCGCAGTCTACGAGCTTTTCACGTTCTGGGTGCGTGTACCGAGTAGGTGGGGAAGTTTTCCGACTCGATTACGGTAATGCTGGAAATTAATCCTTCAGCACTGGTTTGTTTTGTTGAGCGCATTAGGTTTGTCTTTGAATATGGGGAGCCTCTGCTGTAGATCTCTCTTACGCGCAATCCCACACTGCCTCGAACGTTTCCGTACAACAGTAACGTATACCTGCACATCTGGGTTCACCAATCTTTCGTAAAATTAGTGCCCTATTATCACATCTTTGTCTCTGTTTTTGTCTGGGACATGGTTCGAGTCTGACCGATAACTCCCGCAGAAGTTGACTGTCGATTGATGTCTGAGCATCGTGCATGTTCGTTGCTGCCACAGTCTGGCCAATACTTCAATGATGACAAATGTCAGTAACACATGAGTAAATTCTCTTTGTATGCATGGTTAGCGCTCTTCAATGCGGAAAAGGAAAATACGAGATGAACGATGGCCACCAGAACAATTTAATCTCTGATTACTTGTGTCTGCGTTATTGCTTTGAGATCCAGGAGTGCGTAGCAGTATATGAAGTGATCATTCCATTTTTTCTAGCTAGTGTTGCATCCTCAGCCTTTCCCACCAGGGGACCTTTGACAGGATGGGCATGCGTGCAACAATAGCTAAAAGAAAAGATATGATCTCCTTGATGGGAACGGTGTGCACCACAACGCTACAATGTACATATACTCCTCCCAGTTTCAAAGCTCTTCGGGCGCCTTGATGTCTCTGCATTGGTGCTTTTTGAGATCCCAGAGTGCGTAATAATCTTTGAAGTGATCATTCCATATTCTTTTAGATAGTGTGCATCCTCAGCCTTCCCACCAGGGGATCTTAGAAAGGATGGGCAAGGATGCAACACTAGCTAAAAGAAAATGGTATAATCCCTCAAATGAAACGGTGTACACCACAACGCTACAATGCACATAAACTCCTCCCAGCTTCAAAGCTCATCATGCGGCTTCATGTCTCTGCATCAGTGCTTTGAGATCCCTGAGTGTGTACTGACATGATAAGAGATCATTTAATCCTTTTACCTAGTGTTACACCCATGCCATCCTGTCTAAGCCCTCTCACGAGGGGACCTCAGACAGGATGGCATAGATGTAACACTAGCTAAAAAGGAATAAATGATCCCCTGAATGAATCCGGTGTGCACCACAACGCTACAAAACACACAAACCTGAATACAAACGAATAAGGAAACGTTTCCATAACAAATACAACTCTGGACTGAGATTGGAATGATAATAAACTTGTGATGTATATATCTTGTAGTGAAGCCATGAGGATTGTGTATGAACAGCAGGGTGCAGACAAACTGTGCAGACAAAGGTCTGTTCCGCAAAATTGAAAGCACTGAGTTCCGACTTATTAGAAACATCGAAGCTTCCTAAAATGTGAGATTTAGTCCGATGAACTTGTGCTCCGATGATTATGTCTCGGATGGTCAACAAGAGAAACGTGTGTCCCCAATGCTAACTGATGATACGTGGACGAGTCTTTTTTGCAGTCCAAAACTCCTACGAGTTATTTATTTTTATTTTCCCCTTAGCGCGTACCTGGTTCTCACGCAAGGTTAGATTCTCACCTATTTTCTATTCTGGATAACGTGTTGAGATCACATACTGCGCTCCGATCTCCCATTAGAATCAATTCATGCCACAACATCTTTCAAAACTTGCATGCAGTGAAAATCACTCTTGCATCGTATCACTAAATATGAGAGGTGTGATCCCCCGAGCACCCAGAATACACAGCATTGACTCATGGTTTTCCCGCCTAATGTGACGTGCGGATGCCTCTGCCGACCTGGAGCTGGTTAAATTAGACAGATGCTTATGCACTGCTGGGTGAAAACATTTAAGGCGAAGCTCAGAGTTGATGTTCGGTCGTAAACTACTTCTTGGAGAAAGAATTGATTGAATTAATTTTATATGATCAGATCTCACGACAAGCTTGTCTTCGTTACTAGCATAGCCCAAGTGACAGTTTGGTGAGAAAGGCTTCCTCTGATCAGATGATGAAATTCTGCATGGCTAAGATGCTGGTACCAGCCTGAAGAAATCTGGTCCGTTATCACTCAAATTTGAAGGAAAAGGCATCCGAAGAGATCAAAACTCAAATATGGTGTGTGTCTATATATATATATATATATCTAATATAAATCAGCTACCCACTGGGTCCAGAGAAAAATATCATTGAAGGTAATCCAGTAGATCCTGGATCCTCCAGCTTAAGTAGTTTCTATGTGAGGCTCTGTGCTGGTAGTTACAAATTCCAGGGCACTTGCTTCCTGCAGAATGTCTGCCCAGATGTTCGTATGCTATAGTGCCAAGTGGTTACATCATTAATCAACGTATTCTGAAACGTAGCATTTCCCACGTTGCTGGTATTGAAGGTTTCACCAGTCAACGGCTATGGCGGATATCACTGACGATGTCGACAACGCTTTTAATATTAACTTCTTCAAAATCCAAGAATTTTGTGTTGAGCTGTATAGCACAACACATGCTGTAGCATAGCTTGTTCTTTGTTAATGCAACATTCTGATTTCAGAAAAATAAAAACTTACGTCCCCAATAGGATTTCAATAAATGCATCCTTAAGTATTTCAGGATATGTATAGTGATATTCTTTTTTTTTTTTTTTTTTTTTTTTTTTTATGGCAACAAAAGCACCAACCTCCCGGCGAAGATTGCAACAATTCTGCAGGAAAAAAATAAGTTGAAAATATTGTGTTTTTATACTGAAACTCGTAAATAACTCAGTGGTTTGCCAAAAAAATGATGGATGAAATAATGTTACAATTCAGCATTTCAATGCTGTGTAAGCACCCTCATTTATTGATTTTCTCAAAGTATCGAGCGATTTTGAGAAGGTATTTGCAAAAGGAATGACATGGCATTTAGAACCACTTTGCTTCAATGAGCACTTGCACGATGGTATGAGGCCTATTTCCGCAATTATGCATACGATTGTGGATCGCGAAAGTGTGAAGCTGTACTCTGTCTTCCGTGAATGCAAGGGCTTTGTCAGAATCCAGATCAGAAGGATCAATTCGAAAAGTAACCCATTCAATTTGATGCGAGTGCATGTTGCATTAGTTTTATGGGTCAGTACTGAAGTGGATACTCGAGAGAGACATAGCATTTGAAGTTCTATTTGGACCAAATTTCAAATCACATTATAACGTCTTGCTAACGTCTTGCCAGCATCTTGTTCCTGAGTTCAGATATGCCACCTTATTGCAAATTATTGCGGGTTTAACACCCTGGTTTGTTCCTTAGTTGGTTAATTCGTTTCCTCCTGCTGTCCACGCCCAGCCTAGATTCACAATAGACATTACATCCTTGTAAAGATCCTCCGCTGCTGGATGTGGTGGAGC